GCCAGTTCTGCACCGTTGTTTGGAGGGGCGTGGTTGTTACGAAGCCGAGTCCTAACTCGTCCCAAGCATTTTCCATAGGGACTAAATCTGCTGAATATGCCGGGCATTCCATGTGCTGAACATTGTTCTGTCTAAGCAACACGGGCACGGTGTGGTCGGGCATAGTCATCTTGGAATATGGATCCGACGCCGATATGTTGTAAACATGGCAAAACAAGGGGTCTGATAATCTCCCGTAGATAGCGATTTCCGGACAGGTTACCATTAATGACATAGACAGGTGTCCTTTGATGAAAGGAAAACGCACCCCAAACCATGGCACCCCCGCCTCCATATGGCAAACGTTGGTTGACGTTAACGTCAGCAAAGATCCCTCCTGGACGCCGATACACACGAGTTCTACCATCATTGAACTGAAGAGTAAACCTAGACTCGTCGGAGAAAAGAACTGATGCCCACTGAGCACGTTGCCAACTAACATGGCGTCTACACCAGTCATGTCTTACCGTCGTGTGTCGCTGAAGGAGCGGTGGTCGTACTGCTGGTCGACGTGCCCTCGTCAGTCGGTTCCTGACAGTCTGATCAGATACCAGGGTACCTGTGTCAGCTCTCATTTGGTCACGGAGTTGGCTGGCAGTTACTCTGCGTTGTTGGAGGGCCATATTTGTCAGGTATCGGTCTTCTCTAGGATTTGTTGATGGAGGCCTGCCAGAACGTGGTCGATTATTCAGCGTTCCAGTGACACGAAACCGGTGCCATACTCTCCAATGACACTCTGACTCACATTTAGTCTCTGAGCCACACTGCGTTGAGGTTCGCCATCTTGAAGCCAAGCAAGAGCTCTTCCTCTGTCTGTCATGCTCAGTTGATGTCTTGCTATTGTTGAATTTCAAGTGACAATAACAATGTGACAATCACAAGTAGGGAAAATAAGCATGCACAGCACTAATCACACGAAGAACACGTGCAAATGTTGTTCATGATGAAACATCATCTTCCACAAGCACAGTGGTGGCGCTTCTGTGAAGCGCTCGATGTTTCAATTTGTTCATTTTTTAACACCCTACCACATGATGACTATTGGCACCACGGTTATCTGCAGCCTTTATCCAGGTTGTGCAATGGTTTTGAATAAACTACCATACACGTAATGTAAAATTTTATTACAAAAATAATATATATATACTACTCAAAACAAGTTAAGGGTCTTGCGATGTCATCATGTAATGTTATTGATGAGGCTGGCTGCATAATGCAACCAGCCTCATCAATAACATTACATGATGACATCGCATGACCCTTAACTTGTTTTGAGTAGCATATATATTTTATTTTTGCTGCAATTTTAGAGCAGTGCATACTCATTACAATTCATAATAACTGACAAGAAAGTAAATGACAATTTGACCAGTACTTATAAAACATGTCGATATTTGAATTTATGGAGGCTGCATATTTAGATAGTCTATAATAGTCAGTTAGCTCCCTTTGGATTTCTTTGAATTCTGGTACTTTCTTTTGTGATCTGGTGAATCTATAATGTTTTGTTATTAATGTGATGATGTTAAGTGGGTTATTATTTCATTTGGTATAGCCGAGGAAAACAATTTCTTTTGATATATTCATATTTATCTGAGATTCTGAAAGCAGCCAAAATTCTGACAGAAATTTCTGCAGAAAAAACATTCTGCCAGAAATTTCTGCAGAAATGCCTTTTCAGAGCCAATTTGTGAGCTGATGAACACATGAACACACTTATATTTTTGGATTCATCTCCTCGAGATCTGTCCAATGATATCAAATATGTCTTTGTAGCTTGCTTCCTTCTGTGTGTCAAGTTAGGACTCGCTGGCCATTCCTAAGTTGTCCCGGCCGGCCTTTAATGTTTCAAATCATTCCAAACGGAGCGTATATAAAGGCATTCCCAGAACAAATTGAATACAGATTTCTTTTCTGAAGAACAATAGCTGCATAAATCGCTTTCAACGTATCCCATTTTATAAAGGCGAGAATTTGTGGGTAAGATATCATGCAAAATCTGATGCTGGAACCACTGAAACCACTGTGCATTGAAACACTAATAAATTATAGCTTGTGCGTTCTCTATTGTTAATATCATGGGATAATATATGTTCCCATTTCGCGAAATCTTGGTTTTTACACTGATGCTTTTGTATCAATGTTTCGTAGTATTAGTGTTAAAGTAGTTTTGTTCAAACCCTCTATAAACAACCACCAACCTTGTATTAGATCTTTGTAAAACGAATTATTTATATTGGAAAGGAGACATGCGTTTGGTTCTTTACTCATGATTTCATACACACTATATTTTTTGACACAAGGTGTATTTAAAATGAACAGGTGTTTCCACTTAACGTTACTAGTAAAGGAGCATCTTAACATATGTATTTTCTCAGAGTATACTGCTTAATCACAAATGATTTGAGATCGTTTTATCTTGTCAAGTTTATTACTCCAAATGAAGTTAAAACATTTTCTTTGAAATTTGTCAGTTACAATGTCAGGTGGGTTTGGAGTGAGTGAGTGAGTTTAGTTTTACGCCGCAGTCAGCAATATTCCAGCTATATGGCGGCGTGGTGGGTTTGGAAGTGAAGAGAATAAATGATTAAGTTTGGGAAGTATCAGTGATTTAAGAATGGTGTTTTTACCTATTGGAGTTAAGTTACGAGCTGACCACATTGCCATTAATGTTTCACATTGTCTAAGTTTACTTTCATTCATAATTCATGTCGAAAATTTCAACCCTATGAGTGAATTGTTTTATGTTTGAACGTTTGATTGATTGATTTCATGTATGAGAGAATGAACAGTGTTAATGTGAATGTCAGTAGGAATGTGATACTAGCCGGGGTTGTTTTGAATCTATCCGTGTTTTAGGTAATGCTAACGGTAAATTTATTTGTAGTTTGATATTTTGTTCCGACAAGTATTCCAACAGAAATAGTTTCTGCAACTTTTAGATGACTGTGTGCGCACCGCACTCCTAACTTATCTATCACGGTCAAAGGGAAACAACTCTTATATACACAAATAACGTAATTAAGCTCCCCTGTATATTTGCAATGATAGGTTTTAAGTCCGTTTGAGTCAAAATCTCCCTAATGAATTTCACTCAAAAACAAATAATCGTAAATGACTCATACCAGCGCCAAAGTATATAGGTAAACACACCAGCTCTCCAGAATTTTGTTATAATTTTTGTCAACAAAATAAAAAAGTTGTGGAACAAATCATCATTATGTTAATTCGATATTTCAAGATTTGTGACCAGGGTGTAGCGACAGCTCAGGTAACAGCCACATAAGCGAGTTTATCTGACCCGTATAATTCTTTGACTCATAAAAATCGACACAATGATTGGAATCCATGTTGATTTTATGATGATAATTGGTCATTTAAAACCACCCACTGATTTTCATACAAAACCATGTGTGTACAAGAATGGCCCTGGAATGTTTAATGTTGAATTCATTAGTGAATGTGAACATTTAAAATGTCATTTTACGTGGCTTACACGATTCAAGGCCAATACTCCATGTGACTGTATGACAGCCAGCACTCTCCTCCTCATAGCCCCTGTCAGTCTCCTGATCCTCTGAAGGGGCAGTATACGTCATTCCTTGTGTAAAGGAGCTTCCAATTGGGTCAGGTTCAGTGCAGGATGATCCCTTTGTTGCACACGACGACCAATCGTGTCCACGATATTCTTCAAAAGGTTAGATCGCGGCTCATTAAATCGTGAGAGATGTCAGGGGGTGCCTAACTAAGTTCTCTGAGTATACTGATAGGCGCTCGAACTTTGTTTCACTGCGCCTGGCGCGTGGGGACAGGAAGCGCAGCTGTATAGCGTGGACCGATATAGTGTCCCAGGGTATGTAGGTTTTACATCTATTGTCTCTAACTGTCCCACGTGTTATGACGACACAAATACTGCCGTTTTTCAGGACTTTGATCACATTTTCATTGCACCTAAAGAGCCGTTGAGCGGCAAAAAATTAAATACAAAATCATATACACCAATAAATGGTCTCTATCAGTGTGTGTTGATCATTACAAAAATCTATACTCTTTTTGGTATATTTAATGCTTTATGTTGTGTTTCATATAAACAATATACAGGAATCTTTTAAAATATGACTTTCCTCTTTCCTCTAGGTTACATGTGTTGTGTAATCTTGACTCGACTATACTTTATCACACTAAACAATGGGGTAGACCTGTTTTTTTAGAGCGATAATTTCCTAAAAATATTTTGTAACTCAAATGCTGGAAACAGTGGAATTTTTTTTAAAAACTACTGCATTACTTTCACACCAAGCTTTAGTCAGGCTGTTGTGAAGACATATTTAAGTAAGTCACGCAGTTATATGTTACTGAACTGACAGTGTATGTGCACAGTGAGTCCAGCGTATTGTCTCTACATAAGAGCGGTTGGGTAGCTTAGTAGTCACGGTGTTCGCTCCACACGCCGTAGGTCCGGTATCGATACTCATTTCTTTTGTCCCCTCCTGATATTGATTGATTATTGCTAAACGCGGTGTTAAAGCACATTCACTCGTACTAATATCAACTCATACACAGAGAGAGACCAGTGATATGTCTCTATTCAACCAGTATCGAAAGAATACGCTGATTCTACTCTTCATTCAAAATATGAATGACTGTTTGTAGAACATTGTTCACGCGCATTCATGGGGAAAACCCTTCACAGTTTTCAACAAATGTTCACCCTCCACTGGTTCGTATGCAAAATAAAAAACGTTCCTTCAATACCTGTGCTCGTGCATATTAGGGAGACATTAGTTCAGCACGCATTTTAAATGGGACTTCGGTTTTGTTTGGTCACAGTCCTCAATTTCGTCTATTTTCACATGTGGGGCTAGCCGCTTGTTCTCGGTATGAGGACTTCAAACCCGCCCAACGTGGAAAAATAATTTTCTGACAATATCCTGCACACATATAATGACAGGATACAACAGTAACGGATTGAAAGCATTTATTGCTGATGTAAGAAGAAGTTTAGAATCATGAACTCATATTAGAGCTCACATGCAGTTCCCTTTCTCGCATGGATATGTCTCGTCACATTTCCTTTCAGAAATGCTTCCGTTGCGACATGGCTGGCCATTATTCATGGCACTCTTTGCCAGAAGGTTGTAGTATTTCTGTTGGTTTTTATTGTAGTAAGCACAGTCGTGTGGATTACCACCGTAGTAGTAGCAGTCAAGGTTCATGTTACCATCCTTGTTCTTGCAGCTGAAGAGACGCAGCCCCCGGGGCCCAGCACCAGAATTTTTCTTGATCTCCGCATAGCTACATGTTACTTGTCCACCTGTTATTGTGCCCTGTGTGGAAAGAGAGATTGTCAAGGTAGGTATTAACATAGCAGTGGGACAGCGGGAAGGATTAAAGGCAACAATGTGTCACATTTTAACTTTGTTGTGCGAGGGATACTGTTGAGACCTGTGTGACAGATCATAATCGATGTTTTACTGCTATTGAGATGGCCGATTCTGGCACGGATATTCAAAACAGTCGAATATTGAGTTGTATAATTTTATTATTTTGGAATCAGTACCTTGATGGTCGACGATCCGCCAAGAGTTGGAGTTAAAGTCATTACCAGAGACAGCACACAGAGGATGACGGCAACCATTGTACCTGGAATACAACATCACAAACATTGATTTGATATCTTAACCTAATGGCTACTGGGAAGCAATTCGTCTAGAAGTCAGTGAATAATGGCTTACGACTTACTGAAAAATGGCTTAAGATATATACATGAAAGCACATCTCATCTGCCGACAGGGGTGTATTTATAGTGAAAATGGGTGAAGGTTTTGGGTCTGGCCTGTTTGCTGGTAGCGGTTTATTAATTTGCAGATGGTGACCTGGCTCCAGTTGAAGGTTCTTGCCAGCTGACGTTGTGAAGCCCTTATATTGTCCATACCGATCGCTTTGTCTCGTTGCGCTTACGTAAGTCTTGGCATATTCATGGTGGGTTTTTGGTTACTGCATTCTTGCTCTTTCCAACCTCGGTATTTAGGCAACAATTATGCCGTGCATTTGGACTAAAGCCTCACAATTACGTTTTTCACGTTTTGAAAAATGCACGATTCGTACGAAGTTTGCCGACAGCGGCGTTGTTATCGCGTTTTGGCGAATGTTTTCTGCTTGGGTTCAAACCCGTACCGCACTTCCTACCGAATCAGACAAGAAGGTCTGCACTTGCCATAATACGTTGAAAGGGATATGCTAGCATCGTGAAGAACAACTATCAACTGAAAGCAGCAAGAACGAAGGAACGCCAGGCTTGACGATTGAAGAAGCAAGTGCCCTCTTGTCGAGCTCAAGAAAGGCTCAAGTTATTTGAGAAGGGAATCTGTAAAATGTCTCGATGCCACGCTACACATGAATACAGCAAGTGCGTATTTCGAAGGGGTGGAGTGACTGGATGAGTGGGTGGGCATGTGTGATTAGTGCAGGTAAGGTATATTGATAAATTTTGACAGAATAAATTATTTTGCGTCTGTGTTTGGTTTTGCCTCTAACATTTCAGCATAGTAACTTTATTGCATTATTATTATGACATATGCATTGGTCACTGCATCCACCAGTCCGCTCCTGCACGTAACGTCAATCAACGTCACCAGCCTGTTCAACAGATATCATTAATAAAATCACTACTCACCAGATCTGCTTTTAACGGAGGACTTCCTTCAACGACAGTTGCCTCGGGTATGGTAGCAGTGGTCCGATCAACCATCATTTATAGTATACAATCGATGCTCATCAATAATGGAATAAAACCATCATCACGGTTTACACATGAAATATGGATAGTACGGATCGTGTCATTGTCAGATCGTGACTCTGAAAGTGTGTTCTAAATGTGGCTCAGTGTAATTGCTCATTTGTATATCAAGAAATAAAAAACGTTGTCATTAGTTAGAGGCAGCATCCTGTTAGACTACACCTGCATGGATACAGACGATAATTTACGAGTGACGAGGAGGGACGGGTTATCTGTCCTTGGCTCCCTTCTCCCTCATCACGATTAGTTTTTTTGTTTTTATTTACCCATCGTCAAATTTAAACATAAAATGATCATTCTTAAATCCACCCTTTGTGTCAGAAGAGAAGGAACATTTTGTCATTTTCCTACGCGTGTGAAACGGCACCAAATGTCGGTCATTTTATCGATGTACAAACCAACTACGTAATGATTCCACGATAGTCAAATAGTTTGGTTGAAAAGCATCCACATCAGACAGATAGACAGACAAGTTTATTCAGTAAAAGGCCACAGGCCCATCATACAGTTATTTGCATATGATATTAATAGTTTAGTGCACATGGTGTGTAAGAGGAACATTTCTAATATGCTGAAGTACATGATACAGAAAATACCAAACATCTTTTATGACACCCATTATCTGATTTCATAATGTTGATAAAATTGGAATTTAGATCAAAATCAGATACATATTTCTGAATATACATTAATCTTAAAAACGTTCACACTTAAGGAGTACATGAAATTCATCTTCAATAACACTTTTGTCATTAAATTTACAAAATAAACATAATCTCTCATTGTAATCAACTTTATGGTATCTTCCAGTTTCAACTGCTAAATTAAAATTAACACATCTAGATTTGGACAGTGCAGATCTGAGATGTAAAGGAATATCCGAATTTAAATATCACATTTAAATGTGTTTTTAATCGAGAGTTATAAAAACATTTATTAGAATTTTGAATTGAAGTGAACCAACATTGTTTAAGATTATCCAAAAATCTCTGCTTAAATAAAGATATGAAATAATTAACATTGCCAACATCTTGACTGATCCATACATAGCCCAAACCATACTTAGATAAAATATTTCTGACACAAGTTGCCCAAGTAGTGCGGGCAGCAGCATCTAAGGACTTGAGCATAATATAACAATGTTTTGACAGTCTATTATAAGGCATATACAATAGTGAGTGAGTTTAGTTTTACGCCGCTTTTAACAATGTTCCAGCAATTTCACGGCGGGGGACACCAGACATTGGCTTCACACATTGTACCCATGTGGGGAATCGAACCCGGGTCTTCGACTTGACGAGCGAACGCTTTAACCAATAGGCTACCCCACCGCCCCACATATACAACAGGTGACACCAGTATTAAGTAATTTGTAGAGGAAGTCTGCATCTATTGTCTTGGAATATGGAACAAAACATTCCACAGTTTAGTATTGGGATTCTGTATAGATTCCTAAATAACCAACATTAAATACTAGTATTTCAAGATAATAACACGGGATATCTAAGTAGTCAGATTTTACATTAAAATAAAGCCGTTCACCAGATTAGCCGTTGTCGTTAGTTACAGCGTCGGTTCCTTGTTATGGTATAAAATGATCCTACAACAAGTGAAGGTTATTAAAGAACAAATCTAAACATTGGGAAGGAATATAGCCACGTTTGTTTGCGTTTCTTATACTATAGAAGGAGACGATTATTGGAGCAAATACAATCTTTTAAGAGATCATATGAATTTATGTTTTGTGTGTATCAAAAGCGTTTAAAATAACAACAAAGAAATATTGTTAGTTGAAAATTAAAAAAATGTATTCTGTAGAGTGATCGACGTTGTAAATGGGAATGAATGGGAAAGTAGTTCCGGTAGCTAATCAAATGGCAGCATTCCTGAAACAGCTGTAAGCGAAACCTGTAATCTCGCTTGGGAGGTTGGCAGATAAAAAATCGGAAATAAACCTTAGTATTAGCGACCCTTTAAGTGCACTCAAATTTATTGAATATCCCTCATTTCCATTACCTTGAACATTGTGAATAGGAGTGACAATCCAGAGAATTTAAAAATCTATTATAACATTGTGAATAGGAGTGACAATCCAGAGAATTTAAAAATCTATTATAACATTGTGAATAGGAGTGACAATCCAGAGAATTTAAAAATCTATTATAACATTGTGAATAGGAGTGACAATCCAGAGAATTTAAAAATCTATTATAACATTGTGAATAGGAGTGACAATCCAGAGAATTTAAAAATCTATTATAACATTGTGAATAGGAGTGACAATCCAGAGAATTTAAAAATCTATTATAACATTGTGCATTTATTGAAAAAAGGAAAACATTAAACATGTGTTTATCAATTGACTGAGACATGTTTACTTTATAGGATGTTTACTTTATAGGATGCTAACAGATACTTATACGAGCTATATTATGGTCACAATCTTTCGATTCGATTGGTTGTAATTAACGACCATGGCGACAATAAGTAGCTCACAAGGTCATCGATGCTGGATAATAGAATCCTATAGGCATCCCATGATGAAGATGGCGGTCTACAGTGACTTTATTGGGTATATCTTAGCCGAAATAGATTGGGAGAAAAACGTGTGCACAGCTAATTGTCATTTCCGGCTTACATGAAGAGAAAATACAAATGGTAATCTAAATTGGGACAAGGCCTAGGTAAATGTGATATATGTTAAACTGGTAAACCAATACGTCTGGGTTGTATCTCAAAGTTTCTATTGACCAAGTTTCTTACTACATGTTCGTTCATATCTGAATTCGCTGAAGGGTAGTCTGTCGTACAGACCCTGAAGCAAATATATCCAAGAAAGCCCACGCAAGTCTAGAAAATGTGGCAAGTCTAGATTTCCTCAGCTTCAGGGTCTGTACCAATCTGCTGAATTCACAAGCCAGAATATGGCTTGTAATTATCAGTTGATCTCTAGCTGTCACTAGTGTTTAATATTAACTCATGGGGAGCCTCCCCCACCACTCCCCAAGACCCCACACTGAGCCAAGACCTCCTGCTTCTGCCTGTCCTCTCACTCCGGACAAACAACATGTGTGATTACACTAGAGACCTGATGACTTATAAAATCTGAGTATTTTCTTTAACTGTTTCATTTTACACTGGCGAGGAGACGGGATCATTTCGAAAGGTTTTCCATCTCAGGGTAAAAATGAATTGGAACTTTGATGAGGATGAAAGCAAATATACATAGCTTTTGTCCAAATCAGAATACAATGATTGAAAAGTACTTAAGTGGTGAAGATGTGTTGTTTTGTCCTCCATCCAGGAGTGGAAAATCACTGGCATTCGAAATTCTCCCTATTCAGACAAGTCAGTAGAAAATACAAGCCATGCTACTGTTCTTGTTATGTCATCCTTGATTTGCATGATGAAGAGACTAACAGAGAAATATAAATCATCAGGCTCAAAGCAGTGTACCTCAATGATGTAGGCATTTGTGACTTTATCCATAAACTTTGAAAAGACATTGTCATGGGGATCTGATGGCATATTGTTATTTTGCGGGGAATATATACTGAGTCAAAAAAGAAACTTCACATTCTTTCTTCAGGGAGATGGTAAGATGGTTAAATTGTTATTATTTCATTGCTGAGATCTGTGCGATGTACTCGATACACTGACAGTGCCATAATCAGTTCCATTAGGCTACACCGCCGTTCCAAAACATGGGAATACAGAATGTCAAGTCACAAGAATAAAAATGCGAAATTTCTCAGTTCAATATCGTGTATGGCCGTCCCGCGCATTCACCACTGCCAAACACCGTCTCCTCATCGACTGCCTGATGCTTGTGAACACGTGGTTGGGGATTCTGCGCCATTGCTCTTGCAAGGCAGCGCCAAGTTCCTGCAAATTCTGAGGTTAATTCCTAAAACCACGAAGCCTTCTCCCAAGTGCATCCAAAAACGTCCTCTATTGGATTAAGGTCAGGGGACCTCGATGGCCAGTCCATGACGTTGATTCCAGCATTTTGAAGGAAATTTCGTGTCAACATCGCGGTATTCGGCCGAGCATTATCATGCTGGAACTGTAGACCTGGGCCATGAGCCGCCATGAAAGGAACGAGTTCAGGGCTGAGCACCTGGTCGCGGTAAGCAGCAGCTGTGAGGTTTCTACGGATGACCAGAAGTCGGGAACGGTTGTTCCCACAGAAAGCACCCCCCACCATGCAACTTCCGCCCCGAATCTGTCGACTTCCTGTACACAACATTGGGCATACCGTTCACGACGTCGTCTCCAGACTCTATGCCTGCCGTCCGCGAATCTGAGGGTAAACCTGGATTCATCGCTAAAGACGACTCGATTCCAGTCTCTCTGGGTCCATCGGAGGTGACGTTGGGCCCACAGCAGACGTTGACGCTGATGAACGGGCGTCAATATTGGCCTACGATATGGACGTCGAGAATGGAGATTGGCAGCCCGCAACCGATTTCGAATGGTCTGTGAGGACAGTCGACCTCTAAACATCTCAGCCCTGGTTCGTGTAGCCGGCAGAAATCTGTCACGTAGGTGACGTAGGACGATTTGACGGTCTTCTGCTCGTGACGTCACACGTGGACGACCCGACCTTGGGAGATCAGAAGTGGTGCCAGTTTGTTGTAGACGACCTCGCAAGTCATACACAGTACGACGGCTGCATCCCATTGCTCTTGCGACGTCAATAACTGATCATCCCGCTTGCAACATGCCAACGGCACGTTCACGTTGCACATTTGACAATAGTGGCATTTCAAGTACCGTTAGAACTGTGGTTTAAAAGTGTTTTTTCAATTCTTGAGGCCAATGCCAACACGTGCATATGAAGAAAAATTCGATGCGAAGATCACGTGATCGACTGCACGTGCAAAACCTGATTTGGCACTAACGTCATTTGCACGACGAATGGATGGGTTTGAGTGGGTTTTGCTAACGTTTTTCTAGAGTCGAAAGATAGGGATCCCATTTCGGATACATAGATGTATTATTTTTC